TTTGTAATGACTCATGTTCAAGATTCCAATAAGCATTCACCTACATCTCATGCCACATAGTCAATCTCCCTTCTAAAAATGAAAACTATCCCCACACACTAATTCTTTCCTTATGCACCCGCATTTTAGGAAAATTTTTAGTTGATCACTCAATATAGACGTTTGACCATTAAGATTCTTATAATTGAACCCGAGAATGTAGTATAGATTATAGCTTTCAAGTATTTTTTAGTCTTCCTATTCTCGAGAGCGCTCTGACTCAAATGTGATCTCTGTTTGTTTATGTACTCATTCTTTACTTGGGTGTCACATCTTACCCGGTGACCAGCATTCATTTATCTTTGTGTACAATGAATAAGAAATTAGGAAAAAGCTTAACTTAAAAAACATTTATTTTAATTTCCTCCCAATTAGCTTAAATATCAAATAAATATTTGATAAAAGGGAAATGATTATAAAAGAAGGTAAGAAAGAAATAATTGATTACAAGTCTATGCTTAGAATTTCAAAAATGACCGAACATAAAAAATTAAAAATTAAAAAGATGATAAAAGGAATAAAACTTTAATGTCCCGCATCGAAAAATGCCACATTGTACTCCTTATACAAAACGGAATCTTCCATTTTAAAGTTAGAGGTTGGGGAAGTTGAAGCACATCACAATCCCATGCCCCCCCTTGTCAAAGCCAACCAATTTAATTATTATAATTTATTTATATCTTTTTCTAATATTCTTTAACTTTAAAGGGAACATGTGGAATATTTTCCATCATGGTGTTTTAGTGTCATTGTTGAAAACGAAATATAAAAGAATATTAAATTAAATTGTAAAAAACACGAGCACTCTAGTTGTATTACGAGACTCCCACCTCGAGTGGTGCGATTAAGCTCAACAGTCGACCTCGAATAGAAAAAGGATAAGATGACAACCTTATAGAAGACTTTTTTTCTGGCGCTCGAGAGAACCTAAAGATATACTTGTTCTTTCGGCCTTTTTTTTAAATTGTTCCTAATCATTTTGATCATTGATAGTGGCATCGTATATCTCTTTCAAGAGAATATATGTTTATAAATTACATAATTGATTATGGATTCTTTCGGAAAAAACTAGAGAACGAGATGTGACGACATATACAAATACTTAAATTCATCATATAACGAGAAAACAGTACCAAAAAAGAATTTGATTTGAATAGAAAGAAAAGCGAGGTACCTCGACACACTGTTATTTACTTTTTGCTTTAAATTATATTACTTTACGTTTTTAAGAGTGAATACTATTCCCACATAAACATGTTTTGTTTTGACTCACATGCTTCTTAGGAAAATTTCTAAGAGGTCAATTGCTCTAAGCAAAGTGTTTCAATTGCGCTTTTCTTGACAATGGACTCGCGATTGTGCGACACTTGTTCTAACCCTACGAGCAAGTCACCTGTACACATGACCCACAAAATCGACGTATCAACGGAACATAAAACTCAACTTTTTTCTATATAGATATATGCATGCACATGCATACTGTACACATGCATAACTCGATAGGTTAAGAAAATGGCTTGACATATATAAATACCTTAGCGGTAAGGACTCATGTTCATTCCAGTTCGTCGCATGATCACATTTTATTATTTATTCCTCTATTTCATAGTGGATAAGGTTCGGTTGTTGAGTTGACTTTTAAATTATTTTTAAAACAAAATCCTACTCATCCACAATCCATATTACATTAATAACTAAATTTTCGTAAAATTCAAATATCAGATATTTACAATTCACAGAGCATCACTAATATTCGTTACAAACGTTAAAAATTCTTCATCGTTTTAAAGGAAGGAAAGGTTTCGAGTTTGTCAGATTAACCTAACAAAAAAATAATCTCGCAAACCGAACCAAATTTTAGAGTTAGGTAATTTGAATTAGACATATTGAAATATATTTTATATAGCCGATTGAGACTTTATATTTGATATATTTTATCTTTATCTTTCGGATTTAGTTAGTATAATATTTTTTCTTATTTTTAAGGACTTTTGATCCGACCTATGTTTTTCGGACTTTTGATCTCACCTATGTTTCTCGAGCTTTCAATCTTACTTATGCTTCTCATTCTTAACATGGTATCACAGCATCATTCTTAACAAGACGAAATATTAGATCATATCAACACGACAAAAATGTAATCCTATCCTACAAAAATCCATCATAACTTAGCAATTTATACTTCGTAGCTTATAAACCGTCCCTAATTTCATTTAATTGATCTACATAATAATAATAATAATAATAATAATAATAATAATAATAATAATAATAATAATAATAATAATATAATAATATAAAATTTAAAGTTTAGAGACTAAATTATTATATATCAAGTTTAAAGACTAAATTGTTAAAAGACTAAGACGATTTAAAATTGGTTTAGGGACTAAATTGTTATTTTTATGAAAGTTAGAGGACCAATTTTGTAACCGCCCAAACTCACCGCTCACAAATATTGTCAATTTTGACCTGTTATGTATTGTGTCAGCTTCCCAATTTTAAAATACGTCTACTAAGGAGAAGTTTCCACACCCTTAAGTAAGGTTTCGTTCTCCTCTCCAACCGGACTTCACAATTCATCCACCTTTGGGAGCCTAGCGTCCTCGCTGACATACTGTCTGTTGTCTGGCTCTGACACCATTACTAACAATTAAAACCCACCGCTAACAAATATTGTCCGCTTCGACTCATTACGTATTGCCGTCAGCTTCACGATTTGAAAACATGTCTACTAAGGAGAGATTTCCACACCATTGTAATTAATGTTTTGTTTTCCTTTCCAATTTTATTATAGGGGTCCTTCATATTTATTAAATTTGCACTAATGACCCACCCATTTTAATATAGCATTAAAATACATAAAAGCATCACAACTTCTTTATTTTATTCAATTATTTTTATAATTATATTTCATCAATAATGTTAATTTTTTAAAATATATATCATATCGATTCATAGATTCAAATCTTGCAATCCCTTAATAAAAAAATAAAGATGATTAATATAAATGGACGAAAAGAAAGAAATTCGGGGACGGGACTTGAACGGAATATTTAGATTTAGGGGAATAGTAATGAAAGAATATGGGATTAATTTAGGGTGTGATACCTAAGCAATACAAGTAGTAGAGAATAGAGTGAAAAGGAAAGGGTATCTTAAAGAGAGACCTTTCTTGTGGGGCCTAACCAAGCGCAAAAGAAATTTAATGCCCAATTCCAAGCACTTGTTTTTTCGCTATTCTTTTCGTGGCCTTTTCTTTTCTCTTTGTTTCTCTATCAAACTTAGGTTTTTAAACCACTAATCTTTGAGTTTGTGGGAGTCACATTGGTCCACAAAATTCCAAATCGAACACTTAAAAGAGGTCTTTTTTGACTTTTGCCCCTAAAAAGGATAAATTAAACATAAAATAGTGTGTGTTTATTGTATTGTCAATTTCACAATCGGGAAAATGGAAAGTTTTAAAACAAAGGTAGATTTTTAAAGCACCACAAGATTCTCTAAATTTGAAATAAAGAAAAGTGAGATTTTTAACTTTCATCCCTTTACTTTGGTCATAATTTCCTTTCATTCAAAATTTGATGAACTCTGACCTCTTAATGATAAGAGATTTAAACATGTGACCTCTAATCTCTTAGTCAATAATACATGTCGATAGAAAATAAACTAGACAAATGAGTTCTATTTTCCAGTCAACCAAGTCTGGGGCACAGCTATCTTGGAGAAATCCTGAACAAATCGATAATAGTAACCTACCAACCCTAAGAAACTAGGCACCTCAAAGCCAGTGGTCAACGAGGCCATTTGATCGTCACCTCTACTTTTTGAAGGCTCTACTAATACTTCGATCCCAAAAGGACTCTTATTGAAGCCAAAACTTACATGGTGAGAATTTAGCATATAAAATATTCGCCTCAAGAGTAGTCAACACTCAATCCATACGCTCCTTGTATTCCTTATCTAACTTGGAATAGATTAAAATATCATCGATAAACATGTTCATGAAGGTGCTCATAAACTTTTTGAACGCCCTATCCATTGGGTCCATAAAAATTGCATGAACATTCGTAATATTCTAAAAACAAGAGTGATAGTAAGCATAGAAATTAAAATGAAATAACTTTTACAAATATAATCTAACCATAAGGAAAGGGTAAAAAAAACTCTTCACTTCAAAATGCTTTTATTAGTGGTTTGCATAGTTTGTCAAGTTATTGTCCCACTCGAGAAAGACTGGCTTATTTGTAAACAACTCACCCTCACCAACGAGCCTATAGCCTAAGGTCGACTCAAGTTCAGCTCATACCCGGTCCAAACTCAGCCCAAAATCAAAGTTACCAGCCTGACCCGACCCAATTCATTTATTTATTAGAATAGATACGTAGCCCAGTCCAACCAACCCAATTCATTGGATTAGATATAGATCGTCATTTTAAAGATTATACTAATCCATGTGTCAACCCGTTTACATCGTATTTGAATCGGTCCATCGAGCTAGTCCAAGATATTTATCATTGAGCCAACCCAAAATATGTATGTGTATATATAGCTTAGAAATATAGATGTTATAGTTTTTAGTTAATATAAAATCTTTAAAACAAAATACTAAATGATAGTTTGTAAAATCAATCATTATGATCATCGCGTAAGGATAAATATATTTAAATAAATAATTAATATTCAATAGGTTAAATCAATGAGCTAGCCTAGACTCAACCCAAACTAGGATCAAATGATTCAAGTTTAAAGATCGGACATGCGCTTGGCTATCCAAGGTCGAGTCTATCCAATTCAAACCTAAATAGTGCATCAAACTTGCTAAACTTAGTCTTGAATCGAGCTAGAACCTTCACTTTAAAACGGAATTGAGTCTAGCGGGTCCGACGATGAGGGTGACAAACAACCAACACAAGACGTGGAGATGGGAAAAGAAGCACACTAGTGCACGCCCACAACCACTGTTTTTTTTTTTTTTTTTTTTCCCTTCTTCTTTCATTACTTGTTAATCAATCTATTTTGGCGAGGAAAAATCGGGAGAAAAATAAACATGAAAATCAGTTTGGACAGATGGGAAAGTTTAAAAAAAACATAAAATAAAAGGATTTTTTCAAAGATGATGAAAGATAGTAATCTCTCGAGAAAAGGTAATAGCAATACCAATTCCAACCCCACGAGAAGAGAAGAATAATAAGGGCAACAGGGCGTGTCTCTGTTGGACTGATTCCTTTCAATCTCATCTCTCTCTCTCTCTCTATCTTTACCTTTCTTTATTTCCCCATCCCTATATATATCACACGTAACCAGAGGAGGGAGAAAAAGGAAGAGATTTGTAATTACCATTCAAAATAAAAACAAATTTTGTTGTTTGAAAGGTAAAGAAAAGCATCATAAAACCAAACCAGGAAGAAAAAGTAGGTGAAAAAGATGGTGAGGAAGGCAAGAATGGTGAAGAGGATTAAGACATGAATTCATTATCTTTCTCTCTCCTATTCAACAGTTCGTCTAGTCTAAACACTTGAGCATCTTCCTTGTCTTTCATGCTTCTCTTATGCTACCTTTCATTATTGTTATTATTATTGCTATCTATCATCATCCTTCATTCCCAATCTCCATAAACACGCCCAATTTCTTCAAACAATTCCTTTCTCCATGGCTGTTCAAGCTCAATATCCTTCAAATGTTTTGCTCTTAAACAGGTATACCCGTTCTCTTTTGCCTCTAATCTCTATTCCTCTACTTACTGTTGATTCCTAATGGTTTTGGATTTTGGATTTTGGATTTTGGTTTGTTTTAGAAATGGTCAAGAAGCGCATGATTATTCATCGCAGATACAACCAGGAGGTTTTCTTGACCAGACTCATATGGTGTTCAACAACAATATAGGTGAGATTTTTGTGCATTGTGTTTGATCTATTCTGTTTATAAACGCTAAAAGTATTTCTATCAATTGAGTTGTGAAGACGACGTACCTTTGAGGATTCGATTCATCAGTCCGGTTTGTGATGAAAGCAGGAAACAATTCTCGGAAGAGAGGAAGAGAAATGGCGACTTCCACAGCAACCTTCGCGACTCCAATCGATCTCTCTGCGATACAGCAGCCTCGTCCTCCTCTTCTTGTTGATCTCGCCAAGCTTCACAATCACCAAAACAATGTCGTCTCCACCGGTCTCCGCTTGTCCTCCGGTAATCATCAACAGAATCAACCGCTGCAACAGCAACAACAACAACAACCTAATCATAACCACAATCTCGTTCCTCAATCATCATCGACTTTCATATCGCTATTAACAGACGATTTCGCCTCGAATTTCAAACGGCAACAAGACGAAATAGATCAATTCCTTCAAGCACAGGTGCTAATTCACTCTCCCTAACACAGGAAACGAGTTTCATCTTTCGTCTTGATTTTTTATTTTTTTTCTCAATGAACTCCGGTTTCATTTCAAAACAGGAAGAGCAACTACGGCTCACCTTGGCAGATAAAAGACAGAGACACTACCGTGCACTTCTGGATGCAGTAGAGGAATCGGTAGCGAGAAGGTTAAGAGAGAGAGAGTCGGAGGTTGAGAAAGCCACGCGCCGAAACGCCGAGTTGGAAGCACGCGCCGCCCAGCTTAGTGTCGAGGCGCAGGTCTGGCAAGCGAAGGCTAGGGCACAGGAAGCCACCGCTGTAGCTCTCCAGGCACAACTGCAACAGGCGATGTCTGGGGGATGCGACGGAGGAGACGGCGGCACGGCCGGCGCCGAAGGACAAACCGACGACGCCGAGTCGGCTCATATCGACCCGGACCGAGTGAGGATTTTGGGACCGAGTTGCAAAGCGTGTAGAAAGCGGTTGGCGTCGGTGTTGCTTTTGCCCTGCCGTCATCTCTGCCTTTGTACAGACTGCGACCAAGTGGCTACGACTTGCCCGTTATGCCCTTCCAAGCGAAGTTCCAGCGTAGAGGTCTATCTCTCTTAAGGCCCAACCTCACGGCCCAATTAAGTTTCTCCAGGCCCAGGAACCGACCCGGAAAGTTCAGTTACCGGATTTTTTTTTTTTTTTGCTTTTTTTTTCCGATAAAAATTTAAAAGAAGTAATAAAAGAATTTACATTTACTTTTTTTTTAATTATTATCGTTAGAAATATTCTGATAGACCAAACCAGACTATTTCTTTTTCTTTTCCCTTTTTTTCTTTTTTTTTTTAATATAGAATTTCATTTATTTATTTGTTAATTGTTTGAATAATAGAGACCCAATTTTATTAATTTAGGCCACGTTTTTTTTTCTTTTCAAATTTCTATTATAATAGAGATGGAGAGATATAAGGGGAAATCAAGAGAAATTTCTATTATTTTTTAAACCCACTCCATCATGGACGGAGAATGGAAGAGAGAGTAGGAAACATTTTTTAAGTTAAATAAATGCAGGAACCTCTACTCCGATCCCTACAATAATAAATGAAAAAATTCTCGAGAATGGGAAATGAAATAAGTAGCGGGGATAGAGACGGGAACACTTACCTATTCTCGTCCCGTCCCATGGACATTTCTAGGCATACGAGTCTTAAAAGTTTCTTAATTTACTTACTATTTTATAAATAAATTTGAAATTGGACTCCAATGGTAAATTTATTTTACTTCCAAAGTTTAGTGAGTGTGGTTTTCCATAAACTTGGATTGTATTATATATATATATAAAGTACTATATACAATCATATTTAAAGTATGTATTATATAATATATGATATTACGAAATAATAATATATAATAATTTTAAATTAATTATAATACTTTATATTCAATCTAATATTTAAATAGTTCGATTTGAATTTTTTTTTTTAATGTCGATTCGATTTTGTAATCTTTTAAGATTCACAACTATTTAAAATATATATATATATATAATAGCTTAAAGGAACGTTCATAAACTTTTAAAAGTTGCATGGATACTTTTAACATTTCAATATTCCCCTACTTTAATTCATCTAATAATATAATTATAATAATATAGATAAATAGTTTTCATCCATATATTAATTTTAAATACATGAAGGGTATTATCGTAATTTTTTAAAGTTTTTTTTTTTTTTGTTTTGTTATTTAACAAAATAAATGACAAAATTAAAAGAGGGAATGTAAAAAGAGGAGTTTTTTTTTTTTTTATAAAAAAAATAGCTATCAAATTTTTAATAAAAAATAAGAGTTTTTTTTTTATTTATCACAAATTGTAATATTAATTTTAAATTAATAACATAATTACTTGTTAATTTTGTGATCAATTACAAATTAAGGCGTCTCAATTAAATTAACTAATAAATTGGACTATTTATTTTATTCATTAAAGTAATTGGGCAATGAGTCTAAACTAGCCCAAGCCCATTGTGAAATATGGGCCTAAAATAGAAACTTGGCCCAAAAAGATAGGTCCAAAATACAATCAAAACTCAATACATATAAAACCTATTAAACCTCTGTATTATTCAATTTTTTTTAATAAATATAAAATATTAATTTCAAAAACATCTATTTACTCATTTTTAAACGTTTTAATTAAAATTTGCAACCCAATTTTAATATATATTTTAAAAAATTATTTTCTAAACTCGAGTAGAACCCATAAACTAACCCAATCCAAAAAAATTCATAATTCAACTCAAATCGTAGAGGCTGGATTGAGTTAATCGAGTTTTTCAAATATCTTTATATTTAACATTTCAATAAAATAAAAACATGATTTTTTTTAACGTGTAAATTGAATTAGGCTCGAGGTAGCTATTGTTATTTTATTTAAATTATTTCATCTGCATTATGTTTTGAAACACGTGCAGTGTGTTTTATAGCAGTTTGATTGTTTGGAAGGCTTTTAAATTTTCCGTTATTTATTATGAGCATATTAGAAATTAGTAGCGACTCTCAATAGGTAGAAATTTAGGGTCGTTGCATAGGCATTGTTATTTTATTTAAATTTATTAATTTATAATTAAATGATTAAATTTTGGTATAAGTGGTAAATTAAAATGGAAATTTATAGTTTGGAATTAAATAAATAAAGGAAGAAAGCATTATGATAATGTGATGTAATGAATGAAAATATATATTTTTATAATCATAGCTAATGCGTAGATATTAAAATCATAATATTGTGCAAAATTTGGTGCTGTTTGGTAGCTGTCTAGCGCAGCCCAGTTGTATGATATTGTTATTATATTCACCCTTCATGTGCTTACTAGCTTTTAGGGAGCATTTAGTGGAAAGATTAGTTTTTACACCAACTATTTAACTCAAATTATGGAAGTTAGGTTGGGTCACATTTTTTTTTTTCCGATTTAAGTTGGGTTGTGTTTTTTAAAAATAAAAAATTTGGGTCAGGTCATGAGTTGACTTTTTTTTTTTTTTTGTTTGTCAACTTTATCGATCTAAAAAGAAGGTTACAGCCCATCTCAACCTTATCATTCTCTTGAGATTATTGTGAATATTAAGAATGTTTGATGTTTGTAAACTGGTGTTAGTGATGTATTGTGACTTGATATTTTGACCAATAAAAATTGAATAATCCGAATAGAGTTCACAACCCAATCCAACCTAACCTAACCATTTATTTTCGGATTAGATTAGGTTGTTTCTTATTATTATTATAAAAATCATACACGTTATATTAATAACTAAAATCTCACCAAATCCAAATATCAAACATTTATTAGATTATAAGTAAATATTCTTAATCTTTTTGAAATTATGGTTGGGTTGTAACCCTAGTTTTGGGTTAAAAAATGTGAACTTGCAACAAACGGTCAAAAATCTAACACAACCGAGTTTTTACGGTTTGAGTTGGGTAATCTAGGTTGTTCGGGTTACTGGTCATATAATACTCCTAATTGCCAAGTTTTAGAGATCTTTCCACGTCATGTCCATCACTTGACTAAAGGAAAACGATACTTCCTGAAAAGTACACGATGTCAGTTTATACCCACTTTTAATCGAACAAATACCATTTTTTGCCCTAGTGCCAAAAGAAACCATCCCAACGATGGGGTAACATAACGAGATATGTGAAATGAGATCTACATCCTCAAAAATGATCACGTCCTCAACAAAACTCAAATTCTATTAACTCTCGTAAATAAGATCGTAATAGTTCAAACCCACCCATCACTAGCAGATATCTTCCTCTTTGTGCTTTTCCTTCCCGACTTTCCCTCAAAATCTTAAAAATGTGTCTAGTATGGAGAGGTTTTCACACACCCGTGGAAAGAATGTTTCGTTCCTCTCTCGAATCGATATGGGACCTCACAAAGCTTATCAATATGCACTGGTGAACAGTCTCCAACATTAATGCAAGCATATAATATAATGAACGTGTTTAGGTGGTGCCACCTCGAGAACGTTGAACTAAATAATATTAAATGAAAATAATGAGAAGCTATAATTGAGGTTTAATGTGGATTACGTTAATAAGAAGCCTAGTTGTCCACCTAATCAATAAATTAATAATTTCAAGCTTAGCTACTCTCTATAGAGAGTGGTGCCTAGTTAGGACATGATTTTGTCACAAAGGAATCGAATCTAAACGTATAATGGACTTGGATTCTCCACATTCCACATTAACATCAATAAACCCTATCCCATTATATTGGACCTTTTTTTATTTTTATTTTTATTTTTTGTATGGATATGCAACAAGCCGAGTCATCGTAATCAATCCTTACAAATTATTTGGCTAGTAAAACTGTTCGAGAAACTTAATGACTCGAAAAATTCAATCAACTCGACCCAACCCATTGAAATATTTAGTTTATGGATTCTCTTAAAACTAAATTGGGTTGAATCGAATCGACCTGAATTTATTGTTAATGTAACAGGTCAAACCTACCGCTAGTAGATATTATCTTTTTTGGGCTTTTTCTTTCGGGCTTCCTCTCAAGTTTTTAAAACCCGTCGGGGAGAAGTTTCCACACTTTTACAAATATTATCATTTTTGGGCTCTTACTTTTGTGCTTCTTCTCAAGTTTTTAAAACGCGTCAGGAGAAGTTTCCACAGCTTTACAAAAAAATGTTTCGTTCTTCTCTCCAACTAGTGTGGATCTCACCGTTAATTTCAATATATATATTTAATTTATTATTATTATTATTATTATTTCAATAATTTTTAAATATTTGGAAAGTAATTTTAAAAAATGTATATTGAAATAAATCTTAATTAAATGTTTGAAAATAAATTAGTAGATGTTTTACTAACTAACATTTTATTTTTATTAAAAATAAAATTTTGAATAAATGACCTGACAACCCTAACAAACTCAATCCACAAACTCAACCCTAACAACCCTGACAACCCTAACTAACATTAAAGTGACTACTCGATTCATCTTTGTACACAAATTTTCTCAATTATGAATCAACTAGTGGAAAACGATCATAAAAATATTATAAAGTAACACGATGATTATAAGAACAGACTATCTTTAAAGGATCTATTTATCGCCTTTAATAAAAGTGATATTGACGAGTGATAAAATTAATATATTTTTCTTTATTCCTTTACTTTTTTAAAATTTAATAATTAAGAATTGGGGTTTTCTTTGATTATTAGGTGGATTGAAA